ATATGTGTGTGTGTGTGTGTGTGTAATTATGATATAATATATGTATATATGTATATCGCATATCGGTTACTTTTAGTACACGATAGCGTAGGAAGCACCTTCCAGTAAGTAAGAAAAAAAAAGATCATTAGAATAAAGAATACTATCTTTTAGAAATCTGTAAAGAGGAACTAAAGAACACTGCACACACATAATCTTTTTTCTGCTAGTTGTGCCACATGCACGCTATGACTTGGCATCAAGCACGACGACCGTCATATTTATCATAAAGGAAAGACGTGATAATAATAAATGCGTAGAGTCAACGAGTTGTACCAGCATGAGGGAAAAATCCAAGGGAAAATTTCAGCGGACTCATTGTTGTGGCCCTTAGGGCAAAAACATAGAGAACGCCGATTTCGGAGACTGACTCAGTAAGCGCCGATAGGTATACAAATTCCCTTATGATTTCCAACTTGCCCCACATAGAGCTGGCAGACTGCAGGCGGCTTTAAGCTCGGGTCGGCGTTGTCGGCTTTATCGGAATCCAAACTACATTTTTATTACGCCGAAAAACTGAGACGGGTGCCTCACTGTCAACTCACGACCTCAGTGCTTTTTAGTCGTATCTCCATTTTTTAACAGTGAAAATTTGACTTCTTCTTAAGTTTCTTTGTTATCAACTGTTTTCAATGTTATTTACAATGGAGAAACGACAAGAAAGCACTGAAGTCGCGATCTCAATGCCGCCTCGTCGTCGCAAACTCGGGTTCAGCGGTTTGCGTGACGTCACCCGACGGGACTGGGGACAATTTTAAATGGTCATTTCAGAGCTGGTGCTTCAGACAAAAACTAATTACATTTTTAAATCAGTCTCGTCAAATTCGGGTGGCTATCGAGCTTAGACATTTTAAACAATATTTCAGGAAGTTCGCGAATTTTTTTACCCCCCCAATAAATGCTTCATAAATACGCTGTTGTGGTGGGTTGTTTTTTTTCTCCTTTAGATCTAGATCTAGGCCTTAGGCTTCCTCTATGTGGAGTCAAGCAGACACCTTCTGGCGCCTTTCAGCGTCGATCTTCAGCCGCTTAAGTTTCGACGTTCTCTATGTTATCGCCCTAATACAGGGTGCCCATAAAGGATGGATCGGGCCGATCGCCCTACTCGGTCGCCTGAAACTGAAAACAAACAAGTTTGTTTTTTAGGCGACCGAGTTGGGCGATCGGCCAGATCAGCCGATCCCATCCGTAATGGGCACCCCGTATAAGGAGAAGATGTAGATCTAGGCCTAAGGAGTAAACAGCAGATCGGTAGCCTGTTTGCTTAACTGTCTAAGCACAGAGTCACAGAGTGAACACATAATATGCCCAATCAGAAGCCGACAAAAGGCTATGTTGCACGCACACACACACACACACACACACAC